TGGGTTTTAGTACGGTTCGGTTCGGTCCGGTATCGGTTCGATGCGGTAGGCGGTAAAAGTATTGTTGAAACGCCCATGTTAATGTTGTAGTGCAGAGTAGAGCTGTTCTGGCATGGTTGCTTTGAGGTGCCATGCCGACCAAGCCAAAGCAAAACCGACGTTGCCATGCCTCCCATTCAGCTAGAACGTGTCCTCTGGTTTGGGTCCGACAACTGGGCATGGTTTGAGGTCCGGAGAGGGTGGCCTCTCCAGTACGAACATGCATACATACATACATACATACATACATACATACATACATCCATCCATTCATCCATCCATGCATGCATGCATGCATGCATGCATGCATGCATGCATGCATGCATGCATACATACATACATACATACACACATACACACATACATACTTACATACATATTTACACGCAAACATGCATATACATATACATATACCTTTACTTCTATACCTCTATACCTCTATACCTCTATACCTCTATACCTCAATACCTATATACCTATATGCCTGCATACCTATAAACCTGTATACCTATATACCTACATACCCATAACCATATATACTTATATACCTACACACCTATTTACCTATATACCTAGAAACCTATACACCTATACACCTATACACCTATACACCTATACACCTATACACCTATACACCTATACACCTATACATATACGTGTGCGTGTATGTATACGTGTATACAGACATACATGCATACATACCTACATGCACACATGCATGCTTGCATGTATGCATGCATGCATGCATGCATGCATACACATACACGTATATGTAAACGTATGTATATGTATACATCTATCTATCTATCCATCTATCTGTCTGTCTATCTATCTATTTATCTATTTATCCATCTATCTATCTACCTATCTATCTATCTATCTATCTATCTATCTGCCTATCTATCTGTCTATCTATTTATGTATCTATCTATCCATCTATCTATCCATCTATCTATCTATCAACTTATCCACCCATCTATGCACCAATCTATATGCAGACACGCAGGTGCACATCGATGCTTGCGTGCACGCATGCATGCAGAATGACATATCTGTAAGCATCAACCATGCATGTTGCGTGCGTATGGACATATGCACGTCGGCATGTGTACATGCATATGCCCATGCACATGTGGTTTTTGTCTGCCTGCTTGCCTGTCAGCCTGTCTGTTGCCTGCTTGCTTGCCTGCCTGTCTATCGTTTGCCTATCTGACGTGTTTGTCTGTTTGTGTGCATGGTCGTTTTGCCGTATGTCCACCTGTTTGAAAGCCCTGTTTGCTCTCCTGTCTGCATGACAGCAGGCGAGTAGGTACGTCCCACATAGTGACATAGTTTGAGTCTTGGTGTGTACGTATGAACGCTTATACGTGCGGGTACACTGTGTCGAAAAACGATAGATGTGGAAGCATACACCCAAAACGATGCTTGTGTTCTTGCCCTGTGCTGGCAGTCTTGTCGCTAGTTGTCGAAAGCAGAATCTGACAGCAACTCGAGTTTTAGGTGCGTCTTCTTCGTGTGACACGTCCATTCTTGGGAGTTGGGCTCCAGGCATCACTGAGTTAATTTTGGGAATGTTGGGCTTCCATGCTGAGGGGAGTTAGCTGAAGGCTCAGCTCAAGCCAGGTGTCCCAACCCGATAGCCGAAACTGCATTCAGCGCCTGACATCAGATATTCGGGTATAACGTATCATATATATATATATACATACATATTCTGTATATAACATATCACATATACACCTATATGATATTATATGTCATACATACTATATAACCCCCTGAAGCCGGAGATTCTCAAAGGCAAGTCTTCGCCATCATCCGGCAGATTACTGTCGAATGGCCGTCGGCACGCTCGGATGTGCTTCTCAATACCATGCCGCTGGCAGCGCATTGTTCTCTACCTGGGGAGTTTTCAGGTGGTTTCGGGTTTAGGGGTTAGGGCTCATGTACGTGGATCCTGCCCAAGACCTCAGCTGTAGGACGAGGGCAGCTAGAAGGATTGTGACAAGCATCATCATCCTCCAAAGCATTTAATAGAGAAGCCTAAATCATTAAAACTGGTATTCCTGAGGGTTCCTTATTATCAAATGCTATAAAGGAGCCCAAAACCTTGTTCTAATTATAAAGGCCCCGGCGGTAGCCGTTAGACCTGAGTTACCGCGGCTCTGCACAACGCGGGGAGGAAAGCTTTTAACATCCCAGAGATCCCCTCCCTCTGAGGTTGAGCCCTAAACTCTAAACCCTAAACCCTAAATCCCTAAACCCTAAATCCCTAAATCCCGAAATCCCTAAACCCTAAACCCCTAAACTTTCAGCCTTAAATCGAAGCTTTAGACCCCCAAACCTTATACTCGAAGCCTTAAGGTTTAAACCCTCGACCTTACACCCTAAACCCTAAACCCTAAAACCCCACAACTTGAAGCCCTGAGCCTTAAGCCCTTAAGCCGAGGTTGATGGGTATTTCGGACTTGGGCATTTCCTGCATCGTCGACTCCCAGCCTGCGGAGTATGTGCTTCAGGCACCCGGTTTAGGGTTTAGGGTTTAGGGCCTCCTGCCTTGTTCTGGGTTTAGGGTAAGGGTTTTTAGGTTTTAGGGGTTTAGATTCAGCGTTTAGGGTTTCAGGTTTTGGCGGTTCGGAGTTTTTTTGCATCTGCGGGCCATCTCCTCTTTTTCTGGGTTGAGGGTTTAGGCTCTAGGGATCTGCGAGCCTTAGATTACTTGTCTTTCCTTTTTTCTGGGTTTGTGAGCTATCTCCTTTTTCCGAATTCTCGGGGTTTTGGGGTTTCAGGGTTTCAGGCTTCAGGTTCAGGTTAGGGTTTATATTTAGGGTTTCAATTTTAGGGTTAGTTGGGGTTTCAGGGTTGAGGGTTAGGGTTTCAGGGTTTAGGGTGAGGGTTTCACGTTTTTGGGTCAGGGTGTCAGTGTGGAGGGTTCGGATTTCATGGGTTGAGGGTTCACAGTCTAAGGATGCTGTGTTTAGGGTTTAGGGTTGAGGGTTCAGGGTCGTGAATGAAGATTTTTGCTCAAGGCTTTTGGGGTTCGTAGGCTTGGCACATGCGGCAGGTACAAGTAGGGGAAGTTCTGAGCGCACTTTGGGGAGTGACACCTCGGAGAGTAAAAGGCGGAACCTGGTGCAAGCTTGCAACAAGAAAATCTGGCATGCTCGAGGCTTTTCCGTTTCTTGAGGAGCTGCACCCCTAAATACTAAGCCACCTGCCACAGGGCTGTATGCTCCAGCACTGTCTTTGGCAGGCTTGGTTGCGTTAAGCTGTCGATGCAGGTGTGTAGTACAACCTTGCTAGAACTAGCATAGAGGCCAAACATGGGCCATTTTCGACTGCCGACCTTCAGAAAGGGTTGTTACTTCTAGCGCCTGCTGAAATGTGTGCAGCTGCAAGGCATCGTTCTTGCCGATCGTCTGTGCCTGGTCTTGCCTCTGCGCCTCGGAACTGCTTGATGCCTTACGGTCCAGTCTAGTTTTTCCATGTTTGGAGCTTTGTCGTAGCTTAGGCTTCGGTATGTATTGCAGGCCCTTCACGAAGTAGTGCCACAATTCTGTGTGAAAGTGTCAGGTTTATGGTTTAAGCGTCGGGGGGAGGGGAGTGTGCACCTCAAGGGTTTCGACAAGTCGAACCGAAACTATATGCGGCTGTTGTACAAAGTCTTGAGGCTCCGACTTGGACGTGAGGGTTAGGATCAGGCGTTTTCGTCTGGAGTCATACTGGTAGGGAAGCTGCAACGGCATGTCCTGAACGTCGACCCAACGAAAGCCCGAGCGCTCACTCACCTTCGAGTTTTTTTTCACCCCGGACGCCGTCACACTTAAAGCCTAAACCCTAAACCCTAAACTTTAGCCTGAGCACCCGCCTGCCTCGACGAAATCCGAGAGCCCGAAGCTCCAGCAGGGCCACGGGTGTGGCACTGTAAGGTCTCGGGGTTTGAGTTTGGGGTTGCGGATGAGGCACTGTGATGGCAGTTCTTTAAGATTAAGGCTGTGCTTTCGGACGTTCATGTACACCACCTGCAGTCGCGATGAGTACGATGCGAACGACA